AGACCTTGCATATGGAACAAACAGGAAAAAAAGACCTGTGGCTTAGTATTACGTGAGAATTTGCAGACCTCTCCTAACAGTGGTCTTGCTCATCTCACAGCAAGAGATGTGACTTTCTGGGAGGCTCTGGCCTTTGCTCTGTGCGTGGCTCCCCACCATCTGGCCTGAGTGAGCTCTCTGGGACCTGAAGCTCCTGATGGGCTCCGCTGCTATTTCAGCACTCAGCTTCTCTGGGTTTCTGGATGCAGGCATGGTTGTCTTCACTTCCACTAGCACTTTACAAGGGTTAATCGCGGAATCGAGGTGGTGTCTTGTCAAAGTACCAAAAGACCTCGAGAAGTCAATTAGTCCTCTGCCTTGAGGGCATCCTTTTTTTTTTTTTAAGGGATATCATAAATTCTAATACAGTCACAAAACAAACACAAAAGCCCACTAGCCTCCACCTCAGCAGGTGCACATGTATCCTTGGTTGCTGATGGTGACAAAATATGGAGAGGTGTGTCAGTTGAGGTTCTCCAAAAAGCAAGTGCCAAGATGGAGTTAGACTACAGGAGATTTATTTACTGGGGGAAATGCCGGTGAGGGATAAAAATGGAGCGAGCAGTAGGCAGCGAGTACCTTCAGGTCACGATGCAGGTTGTTCAGCTGTGAAAGGAAACTGGGATGGAGGAAAGGAGATTTGGATAGAAAGAGGATCAGTCAGCTCTGAGAAGGTCTTGGCCAAGCCAGTGGAGGGCCCTAGAGCAAAGGTTGCCCAGTAGAGAAGTCCCATATTGGGCAGGAATCTCCTTGCTCTAGTATCCCACCTGTCCTCAGTTGCTGGCTTGGAACAGCCAGGGCACTGGGGGTGGCATGGCCTTAGCATGACCACTGTAGTGGGTCTGAAGGTACAGCAGCTGCAGGCTGGCAGCCAACCATGGTCCCCCCTGCTGCTCCCCACAGCAGCTTCTCTTGAAGGAGCACCTGAGCAGGCACTTCCTGATCACCACAGGGAGAGGGAAAATAATTAAGGACTCTTGCTCAGCCACTTCACTGGACACCTGCCTCCAGTTCACAAGGTTTACCTTTATATATCCTTGCACTAGTTACATTTTTGATAAAAAATATGCAACAGCTCCTATGCATACAGAGTCAAGTTCCTACTCCTTAATAAAGCACCAAGGCTAGTCACTGTCTGGCCTTCTCCCTACTCTCTTCAAGATTAGCTCTTACGCTGAACCCCACAGAGAGGCTATAACCAGCAGCAGGTGTGGTTTTGAGCACATGGTATTCTAAGGGAATGTAAACTTGATTGCTCTGAGACTGCGCACCTCCCCACAGCCTGCTTGCTCATCCAGCCACCACGCCCATCTTTGTCTTCTGATGCTTTTCCCACTCTGACAGCCACTGGAGGTGTCTGTTCCCATCAGCATTTATGACAGCAAAGCTACAGTTGGAGGAAATAATCTTGTGTCTGCCCTCTTGAAATCATGCAACAACAGCAAACCATCCAGTCTGCATTTACCAGCACTGACTCATATGCCAGCCACCTGAGTGGGGGCCAGGAGAGTGACGAGGGAAATAGTCGTGTCACTACAGTGCCTTCCACAATTCTTCTTTCCAATAGATGCCCACAGGCTTGCATCTCTTCAACTCACCCTTCTCTGCTCACACCCACATCCCCTGTGCGACCCTAAATTCGTGGTAATGGGAGTTGGATCAAACTCATAATTCTATACCCTTCTGGTAAATTTTTTCTTTTTTCCCAATAGTGAGGGCAGGCAGTGGAATTAGCAAGTTACATTTATTTTGAAGGTAATGATTCCCAGACTGGTTATCTAAGAATGGTGATTATTCTAGATTTTGAAAACAGAACCAAAGTTCACTATGACAAGCCAACCCTAACTAAACAAGTAACCGGAGGTCAAAATTCCACTTGTAAAATCATTTTATTGGTATAAATATACATATGAATAAAATATCGTCAGCCTGTAATGTAAGTGAATATTTGTGAAATGTCTTATAAAGAGTAGTATTTTGATTTTTTACATGTGTCAAAGTATTCTCTCTTAAAATCACACATTAAAAGCTAATATGCAGACAGAAATTAAAGGCCTTCAAAAACGTGAATATTCATAAAACCTCATTCCAGTAAGCTATATACATTAATCTGGGCACATGGTAGAACCAGGTGTGGGCCTCTCTCTGTTCTTAGCTGTGCTGTGGCTGGTATGCAAAGGCCACCAACCAAGCTTTACATGTACAATTTCACATCAGGAAGGAAGAAGTTCCCCATGGGAGAATGTAAAAACCATACCCAAGATCTAATATATATAATTTATACAAATTATTTATTAGTGTGCTCTGTTAATATAATTACAATGTGCAATTGCATACATCAAGAATAAATTGCTATATCGAGTCATGTGCAGCTTTGACACAGCACATTCACAGTACCCCACGGTCTGCGGGATGGTGTTACTTGTGTGAGTGTCTGTCCAGTTACTCCATTTACCTCTTAAAAACTCATCTTGCAGGGCAATCTGTAGCTGCCTCAGAGAAATTCAAGTAGGGCCCATGGAATAATTGCTGGCTTTTGTTGAAGGCATATAAAGGAACACTTAGAAATCAAATGCCAAGGGTTGGAAGAAGACCAAATAAATGTGCTTTGATTACCAAGCAATAAACCTGTTTCTATACTCTTTAAAAAAGAAAAGAAGAAATAAGAAAAAAGATAAGAGACTAAAGCACCAAGAGAAAAGTGCCGAGAAGAAGAGTTGTCACCCCCGGTGTGGCTCTGAGGGCTGACAAAGCATCCGCACGGGAAGACTCCGGCATGGGTGACTCTACACGAAAATAAACTCTTTTTCTGCTTCTTCACCAGAGTCACTAGGTTTTCTGCCTCGATGGCCATCTTTACTGGAGGACTGTTGCTTTTGCTCTTGATACTCCTGGGCCTGCTGGCCCCAGCTTCTCCTCGACACTGAAATAGAACGGGAGGTCGTGCAGTTAGCGGACACGGTGGGACCGGTGGCCAGACCGACAATGGCCTGAGGGGCAGGAGCCCTGACAAGTGGGGGATGGGAGGGGCTCAGGATGAACATTTTCAGAAACAAACTTGCTACCATGTTCAGAGACTCCAGACAGAAATTTAAAACAAACCAACAAAAACAAACAAATTAAAACAAGGAAGCGCACAAAAGACCACAGTCTATGACAGGGGGGACCTCTCATAGATGTGCTCGAGAATGTGAGGGAGGACGGTGGGGAAGTGGGGGGACGCCAGGAGGGAGAAGCAAGGATGCTGCTCCACCAGGCGACCTCCTGGTCACAGCCGCCCCCTCATGCAGCAGAGAACAGGGCAGACATAGCCTCGAGGAGGCGCTGGCTGGACAGATGTCCCATTCGAGGCCTTCTGCAGAAGATTTAGGGTTGGCCATCCCTGTGTCTGGGGCGGGATATTGAGAAAGGCCCCAGGAATCATCATCACACATTTCTGTGTCTCAGAAAATCTCAGTTTCATTCTTCAGGCAATGAATACTTGAAAGAAGTCACGTGCAAATGAAATAAATACTGGCTGTGATACACTCAGCCTTTCTGGAATCATCCTTCAAGGTTAGAGAATTGCCATTATTGTTGCCTGCTCTCATTTGCAAATAAATATGAAGAATCCACTGTGACTACAAAGCAGTGACGGCAGAATCATGGCTGGAACTGAGCCTTTGCTACGTGGCAGGCGCTCTGTTTTATTAGTGTTGCTCCTCATAACTTCCCTGTAGGGTAGGTTCTGTACAACTTGGAACCAGGATTTAAATTAGGTCTGTCTCTCCAAAGCTCATGTTCTTTTCCAACTAGATCACAGCTGTCACGGGTTATTACTCACCTTGTCTATTGTATAGACACTACTTGAGCAAAAAATACCAAACCCACACACTTTGTGTGGCTTGAAAGAAGAGTGTAGCTACCTCATTGCTTGCAAGTTCAAATGACCCACACACTGCTTCAGTCCTGGAAAAGCTATAGGATTCATTTGATGCTTCTCATCACTTTGATTTTTGTATTAAGCTGAAAAACTCATCTTGCCAGGAGCTGGCTATTAAATGTTTAACCCACTGAAGAGAGCTTCAGGAAGGGAAAGCTCATTAAACCTAACAGTCAAAATGCAAACGTAATCAAGTATTTCTCTTGCCAATATGGTTGTCAGGACCAGATTCTGATCTCTAGGCAATAAACGTTAGAAAGCTCATTAAACCTAACAGTCAAAATGCAAACGTAATAAAGTATTTCTCTTGCCAATATGGTTGTCAGGACCAGATTCTGATCTCTAGGCAATAAACGTTTACATTTTTAGTTAATGACATTAAACTGAAATTACCCAAAATTCTGGAATAAAAACCCTTTCAAATCTCATCACAAAAGTAATTTTTAAATGTTTGATTTCTTTTTTACCGAAGAATTTCAAGTAAATTCTAGATGAGAGAGAAAAAAGCAATGAACAAATAATGTAATTGATTTTGTAATTTTTAAATGTTTGATTTCTTTTTTACCGAACAATTTCAAGTAAATTCTAGATGAGAGAGAAAAAAGCAATGAACAAATAATGTAATTGATTTTTATTTTTTAGCTTGCATTGGGTAAAAAAAAATATATATATATATATACTTGTTAGATTGGTGTTTTGAAAGCTGTTAATAAGCCAGGTGTGGAGAAAGAAGATAAATAATTTTCTGTAAATACTTTGCCTCTTATCTCAAAACCAATTTGATCCTAACACACAAAGTCCTTTAAGTTCACAACCTCTGTGTGTACTAAGAACAAGAGGAAGTAGGGAAGATTTATTATATCTTCATCTTGAAGATATTTTGCAATAAATCCAACCTCAAAATACAGCATTACTTGTGATATCTACAAAAAAATTTTTTCACTCCATTTTAAAACCAAAATAAGTTATTCCTCTATCTCAAATGACTCAAAAATAAACTTCCTACACTACAGGTTCAAGGGAAGAAATAAATATGGTGAAACATTGTTCATTTGTCTTCAGAGCAAATATATTTGTCATAATTCTTAGAAGAATAATTAAACTTTTCTCCCTTCCCAATATTTTGGCTTCCTGGAAATCTCAGGTCTAATTCATGTTATATGATAGGACATAAGAGTACTTTCTAAAAATGGAGAAATTCATATTACCAAAAACGTTTATGTCACAGATAAAAACTGAGATAACTCTATGGATCAGGATCACTATAGCAGGAGTGACTGAAATTCAGAGAAATCCAACATAGGAATGTTCCTGCAAAAAGCAGACTATCCTTCAGTCTCCACCCAAGTGTTGATTCTTTAGAGTCACTGACACTGGGCTGAGTCCTCCAGGTCTGGGGGTTAACGGGGGGCAGCAGGGCAGGGGGATGGGGAGGATACAACATTTACAAGTTAATACCCTGGTTTCTGGGTTGGTGACGCAGAGCCAGTACCAATCATGAAAGCAAAAACTAATTTATCTAACATAGTAAGAGGAAAAATAACACATTTTTTCAGGAGGACTGTCAAAGCATTTCAGTATGGTGGTGACACTATTTAAAAATTCATTCTAAATATATTGATCTTCAGTGATTAAATGCTAATTACCCTAATTTGATCATTACATGTTGTACTCATCAATTATCACAAAGTACCCCATAAATATGTACCACTATTATGTCAATTAAATAATTTAAAAATAAAAATATATAAGATAACATAAATTCTACAACTGTGAATGTGTGTGTGATAATGAGACTACTACCAGGCTGACATGTCTTTAGTATTTTAAGTGAGCACCATTCATGAACAGGAAAACTGAGGCATAGTGAGATCAGGGCACTAAAGTCCTACAACTAATGTGGTAAGTTGGGGAACCAAAGCCCTTGGTCTCCCAGCCTCAGCCTTCTTAGTCCAGATCTCTAGTGCAAACAACTCTGTAGGGGGAATGTTCTTTGTCAAGTTTGTTTTCCAGCCCACAGGGAACATCTATCTGATTGTGTATAATTACCATTATATTGAAGCAGGTTTGGTCAGGCTTCCACTAAAGAATGGTCTAACAAGAATTATGTCTGCTTGAAACCTCAAACTCCAGAATTTATTTTAAAAATATTTATAAAATTCAGACTTTTTACTAATTCAAACAGACCTCCTCCTAAGCAGCTTAATTTAATGTTTGATTTTATAGAGGGGTTAAGAAAAAAAGTCAGATTATTTTACTACGCTTCTTCAATGCAAGTATTTGTACAGTTAAGGGTGCGGGAGCATCTATATATGTATTTATTGCCATTCCACATACCATTAAAATTATTTCATAAAAGATACTCAAGCAAATGAACAGGTAATTTATTCAACACAGACACTCCATGTATATTCACATCCTGTCTATGGTGGCAATAATTGGTGCAGAGAGGCTCAAATATGAAATCTGTCATCACTGAAGATGATTTGACACACACAGACACACACATACATATGCTAATTTTAAAGTTTCTGAAACACAGATATAAACGCTGAATTAGAGATTGATATGAAAATTTGAGATTTTCTCCATTGTTGGCTCCACTGACATCTGTATTTTCCAGGGAGAACACATTATGATGACCTTAAAATAATATTCAGTAGTTGGCCTTGATTTTATATACTTTTTAGCAAGAGCCCCAAATGCCAACCACTGTTAAATTTTCCCTGAAGAACTCATACAGGGGAAGTAGAATTTAGATCTGGTGGATAAAGTAGAGCAGGGCATTGGCTTACAGACTAGACTGTAAGCCACAGCCAAGTATTTGCTGGCTACAGGTTGGATTATGGAAGAAGCAAGTGATATATAAAAGGAATCTCAGAATCAGATGCCCTGTAAAAATAGGATCCATTACCAACAAAGTCAAAACCAACTATTTTCTTCAAGAAAATAGAATATACTCTACCCAAAACAGCTTATAACTAAATGTGGAGAGGAAATGATATGAAATTAAAAAGATGCAGTTACAAATATTTCTAGTAAAATAAAGCATTTTATCTGTCAAATAAATATTAAAACAGCCACATAATTAAAACATAACCATCATGATAAACATATGGAGCATGCTTTGAGAACAGCAGCCTCTGTTTGTTTCATGAATACGTGATTTAGGAAAATAAGAAAGTGGTTTTAGTGTAAACAAAGCTGCTCTTAAATGACTTAAAGGAAAGTGCACACTATGGTTTAACAGAGTTGGCACACTAATGCTATTTGTTAAGCAGAACTATTCAGAAAGCAGACTGCTATGCAGTTCTCAAAGGTGAAGACGGTCTAGTGCTAGGAATCGGCACTAACAAAACACAATTAAAATACTATACATAAAATTCTTTAATTGAAGCTCCTATAAAAAATACTTTTTGGTGCCTGTCAGTATTTCCAAGAAATCAAGGCAGAAAAGCAAATACAAGATGGTCCTATTTAATTCCATCAGAATCTCACACAGCCCATCACAATGAGAATTTTAAGCTGAAGAGGTCATGGAAAAATCTGAGACAGACACAGGATTTCTTCTCCTTGCCTTACTATGATTTGGCTTATCTCCATGTTCATCCTCTTTTTACTTTAACTCCAAGTTTTACTAGATGATCGATGTGCTCCTGGGGTATCATCTCTTGCATGTTGTATAAAGTGCTTTTGTAGCCTCTTCAAGAAGAAACATTGCATCAAGCGTGCTTTGTTAATAACCAAGTGATATAAGTCAACAGATACAATAGTTCAAATGCAAATTTCTGGAATCTAGAAACATCTAGGTAACCTCAGCTGTCCTCAACAAAACAGGGAGGATAGAGACAGAGATTCTGACTGAATATATTCTCCAAAATAACTCTACCTCTCTTCAGAAAATAAACGTCTTCAGTGTTCACTTACATAACTTTTCTATGACTAAAGATAACAGATTTTCTTGGCAATATCAGAGGAAATTTCTTGTAGAGAAAAGAGTTATTGTAACTGTACATCTATAAACATGTCTACCACATAGGAAACCCTTTAAAAGTGAAGGACCAAATCAGTCAGTTTTCTCTAGGGCAAGTGCTAACTGGCCCAAACAGAATGTTCTATCCTTAGGTGACCTACAGACTTTGCTTTATGCTATGGGTGGTACCCTTAACCCTGTCATCTAGTGTGTGCCATAACAGGCAACTAAGAGCTCAAGGCTCATCCGATGGCACTGGTTAAGAAGGCAGGCTCCAAACGCTGCTGGTCGTGGGTAGTTGGTAGATGCTTTGTTGTTTTTAAATCTATATCAAGGAAAGTTCTCAAAGACAACAGTTCCCACTTGAGGTATCATAACTCGTTGGGCTGTTAAGCTGTGATGTGGATCACTAGAAGTTCATCAATAATAAATTGTTAAAATTTAAGAAAAATTTATCTTTTTTGCAATAAAGATAAATTATCCCTACGATAAGGTCACTTCCATTAACTTGTATTCTGAAATGCTTTCTTCAGACACAGTGAAGGGCATGGAGTTCTAGCTAGAATGTTGGGCCAGGCACCTAAGCCCTGGGAGCCTAAACACACTCTTCCGTTAACCCCTGATAAAGTTTTACAGGAAGAAAAAAAAGCCTCATTCCAAGGACAAAAGTCCTTTAAGGAAACCTCATGTATCAGAATATTTTGTATTTTTTCGTTTATGATACTAAGATTTCTTTTAGAAGATTTTTCAAGTTATATTTATAAAAAGCTATTCAGCAGGGAGATGATGAACACTTTAGTCACAGAAAAGTCATTTCCTCTCCAAGTCAGCAATGCGTGTTCTAACATTTCCCAGTGGAGGTTAAAGCTGATTTAAAATCTACTTCCTTTTTTTCTCCTGGGACTGTTCTCAGCTGAACAGAACATGCAGAATTTAATACAGGGCCAAAGGGAAGATAGAAGTCACAGAGTAACTGCTGGAAAATAGAATAAATTGTTCTTGAAGGTTGAAAACTTAATTGGTACTTTTTCTTTCTTACTAACAGGTCACAAAATGTCCACTGAAAAATCATGTGCATGATCCAAGGTGCATTTATTCAGTGGTTTTTTATTAAACCCATTTCCCAGTGGAGGTTAAAGCTGATTTAAAATCTACTTCCTTTTTTTCTCCTGGGACTGTTCTCACCTGAACAGAACATGCAGAATTTAATACAGGGCCAAAGGGAAGATAGAAGTCACAGAGTAACTGCTGGAAAATAGAATAAATTGTTCCTGAAGGTTGAAAACTTAATTGGTACTTTTTCTTTCTTACTAACAGGTCACAAAAGGTCCACTGAAAAATCATGTGCATGATCCAAGGTGCATTTATTCAGTGGTTTTTTATTAAACCTTTCCTAAAAGAGTATAAGGTGTGAAGCCAATATTCTCTGAGGGTATAAACTCTGTTACTCAAGGAATTTCTGATCCAATCACAGTTGAAACCTAACAGAAGTGTAAAGTCATAAAGAAAGAGAATAAGAGGCATGACCCCAAATATAAAAAACCTACATAATCACAAAAATTTGAAAGGACAAGTCACCAAAGTAACTTGATCCTCCTCATAAGAATTTCTAATTTTAGATTTTTAAGTCAATATTTTTCTGCCCCAAATGGAAGGACCATCCTGTTGTCATTTAGGCAAGAAGTCCAATGCATGACTAATCTCTGACCCAGTCCCACGATAGAAGTTACTCAACTGAAGTTCATTTTTGTTAGTGCCAGTTCATAAGCTTCAGGTCAGTGGGGGATGATAATTGAAGGCTCTAACCATTTGTTGGCTGTGACTTCCTGTGCCCAATTGCATTCACTTCCTCTTCTGCAATGGTGGAGTACAGTTTTGAAGATCTTTTCCCTCTACTGGAAGGCTTGCCACTGTCATGATCTGAATGTCTTTTGTAATAATCTCCTCTTTGCACTACTGAGGAAAAGGGATTCATTTTACCCTTCATATTAGCAAATACATTAATGTGTTCACATTAATCTTAAAAATACTAATATTAAAAATTAATTAACAGCTCACCTGCCCCACTTAGGATTCAAGGAACCTATAGTGTTGGTCCTGGGCAGATACACCATTATCTACAGAATTCAACAGCCAACATTATGGAAATGTCGTGCAAAATGAGGTGAGCTCTGAGTCTGCCCCAAAAAGGTTCTAACAAAAAGGCCCAGTATTACCATTTTGATTCCACAATGGATTAACAAAAATCACATTCACTATGGAATGATCCAGAAGAAACACAGCAATTTACCTGTTTCAGAAATTACTTGGGCACGCTAGTCCAAAGGGAGGCACAGAACAAGGAAATGAAGCAACCGGCATGAATAATACACAAGAAAACAGGAGTGAGCACAACAGGAACTTTATAAAGAACAGTACAGGGCTCACGGTGGCTACCACTCCTGACCCACCTTAGCAGACGAGCTGAAATAAACTAAAGTCAAAATCTTACCACCTCAGACATGTACAGACTATTCTCAGACCTCACGTATACTTTCAGTCCAACTCCAATACAAAGTGATACCATCAGGGTGATCTCTGTGATCAGCTCACTCTGGATCCCAGATGGGAAAATAATAGTCTTCACGGTTCTCCAGTCCTTATCATCCAACTGGGAAGATCAGGGCATGAACCACTCCCAGTATTTGCTATTGGGGGAAGTGAGGAAGGAAATCGAATATCCCAAAGATCTGAAAACTTGGAGGAGAAACTCATTTTACTTCTAACTTACTGGGGAAAGAACACTTGATTTTTTCACAGCAGCTAAGAGCCTGCTGGGGGTCTCCAGTATTTCTCCCACTTTAACTAGAGATGCTCCATGATACACATTCTTACTCGTGAGGCCGGTGGGTTACTCTAGGCCTTGTCTTGACCACCTACAGTCATCTAGAAAACATCATTTTCCAAAAATGTTACAACAATGACTTTTTATTCAACCTTCTTTTTTTTTTCCCCTTGGTAAATAATTCAATATTTCAATTGCTTTTGACAAGATGAACATTTCTACTTACTACTACTACCCCTTCTCCACCTCCCCATTTCTCTCCAACAGGATTCTTTCAGGCATTTTCAAAGCTTCCTCAAAAGTAAAACTGTAATGTCAGCCGTTGTACAAAGGAGGGGAAACCAGGGTGGGAATGCAGAAGGGGCTGTGTGTCAAGAACAGGGCTGTCAGGGGACACTTGCTGGCCCAGGTCACTCTGAAC